GTCTCTGCGGTCCTGATGTCTTCAGAGAGCTCGTTCCACCATTTCGGAGCAAGGACAGCAAAGAGTGGTGATCTAGTCGAGTGTTTTGCTCTCAGTGAGGGAGGGACGAGCAGTTTAGCAGATGCAGAGCGGAGAGTGCGGGTTGGGATGTCGGGTTTGACCGTGTCCTGGATGTAAGCTGGACCCCATCCATTCACAGCATGGTAGGTGAGCACCAGTGTTTAGAACTGGATGAGGGCAGAAACCAGTAGCCAATGAAGAGAGCGGAGGAGAATTTAGGAAGGTTAAAGATCGGTGGAGCTGCTGCGTTCTGGATGAGCTGCAGAGGTGGAATGGCGGTAAGCGGGGAGACCTGCCAGGAGAGTTAGTAGTAGAGTGAGAAGTTGATACGGAGGTGCAGAAGCATGGAGGTGTAGAAGCATAGAGGTGCAGAAGCATGGAGGTGTAGAAGCATAGAGGTGTAGAAGCATGGAGGTGTAGAAGCATGGAGGTGCAGAAGCATGGAGGTGTAGAAGCATGGAGGTGCAGAAGCATGGAGGTGCAGAAGCATGGAGGTGTAGAAGCATGGAGGTGTAGAAGCATGGAGGTGTAGAAGCATGGAGGTGCAGAAGCATGGAGGTGTAGAAGCATGGAGGTGCAGAAGCATGGAGGTGCAGAAGCATGGAGGTGTAGAAGAAAGGGGGGCCGTGCAGGGAACAGGCAGAGCTTAACGCTGATGGAACAGGTATTGACGGAGGCTAAAGGTGAGGCTCTGAGAAAGGATTAGCGGGTGAGCCATAACATTGGACTTGTTTACATCACTGCTCGGCCCCCAGAGAGCTTTTCACTGTCTGCCCCCCCCCCCCCCTGACTCTGCAAAACAAAAACAGAAATCTTAGCTCTTTTTCTGCAGTCAGAAATACATTTTGAGACATGCATGTTTTAACGTTGTTTCCTCCTCACGGCTTTTGAACAACGGTAGTTTTGTCTTTGTCTAAAAAAGCGGCCCAATATGTTCTGCTTTTCTTCTCGGCATTATCTGCTAAAAGCGTAATTTATTGCGAAGCCTTGGAGTAAACAAGCGCCGAGCCCCTCGAGGCACCGAGGGGCTCGGTCAGAAACATGCTGTTCAGTAGTTGATTTAGCTTCTACTCGACACACTTCATCTCCCTTCGGGGTTTTTTTTTCTTTCTGCCTCTCGCCTGTTGCCTTGGTAACCAGCAGAGGGGAAAGTGAAGGGAGGGAGGGAGGGATGAGAGGAAAAATAATAAATAAAAGGGGGTGTTTGTGTCGGGTTTCTGGGTAAAAGAATCAAAGCTGCTCTCGCTTACCGCTTTCCCCTCCGCCGACGTCTCCCAATCCTCCCCAAAGCCCGCGCTCCTTATCGATCCCCGGCCTCCTCTGCCCTCGTCCTCCTCCGACGGTTTGGCCTCCTTTGTCTACAACTTCCAGAACTTTGTGCTCCTCTACTCCGCCTCGATCGCGTTCTCCGTCACGCCACCAGCGTAGTGTGGACGCGACATACGCGCGCCTCACAACAAGTGTGCACGTTTACCATCGGCCTTAAACACACAAACTCCCGCCTCTCCACGGCTTCCATCTTTATGCAGCTCACACGCTCCCCTTGTGACGTGAATAGCGTCGGAAGGTATCATTAGAAGAGGCCAACATTAAACATAAATAAAGATATTTAATAAGGTCCAGGGGGCTGCAGCGGGAAGGTGAATAATGCAGATCGCTGGTGTTTGGTGGAGCTGTTTTCACTGTCAGACGCACTCAATGGTTATTTTTCGCATCAGCGCACACGTTTATTTCTGACAATTAACCCCACCGAGAGATGTGAAGATGAAAAACTCGGCGCGAGGTATCAGCGGGAGAGGCGCGAGAGAGAAAGACAGCAGGCTCACAGAGGCGTTTTTTTGGACTTGTGTTGGCACGATGTTTCTGCATAATCACCAGCTCCTGTGTGATAACACAGTCAACGTATTAGTCAAAGGCAACAACAAACAGTGTCCACAGAGAACGTGCTGTCTGCCGTGTGAACGTTTCCCTCTCTGGAAAATCAACAAAGCCGTTAATCTACGAAGTACGACAAAACTTAGAATAAAGTCCCAATTCTCAAATTGCCTGATTTGTCGAAAAAAACAGACAAAAGAGAGAGAGAGAGAGAGAGAGAGAGACAACAGCAGCCTTGTGACTACAAATGAAAGAATGAAAGATCAGAATGATGCTGAAGAGAGGAGAGGAAACAGGTGGGGGTTGCTGCGCGGCGTACGATAATCTAAAGCTATTCGATGGCATTAACATAAAAAAATAAATAAAATAAAAACTAATGCAAGAATCCTCGGTTGGCCTCGCCGCAGCTTACAGCGGCAGGTTCGCGTGCGGAAGCTATTATATAATTTATTCTCTATGATGAGATTTTCCTCCACCGCTGGTTTCCTTTCTCGCACTGGCAGGTTTCTCTTTTAATTTAAGGCGGAGATGTCCGAGCCACACTGGGGCTTTTTTTTTTTTTTTTTTTGGGTGACTTTATAATCTCTTTATCCCTGTCTGGAACTAGTTCATCCCAAACCGCCGTTTGATGTCTTCTTCTAGTTACTAGTTCCAAACAGCCTCTCCGCTCAGTGTGCATATCTGTGCACGAGTTCGGCCATACAGAATGCACGTGTGTGTGTGTGTGTGTGTGTGTGTGTGTGTGTGTGTGTGTGTGTGTGTGTGTGTGTGTGTGCCCATGTAGTGCAACACTCTGGCATTGTGAATTGTCCGTCCTGGGCGGCACGCCAGCGTCCCAGGTGGGCACACTGGCATTATCTTTTCATTTTGGAGGTCATCCCCGATGAAAGAGTTCAGATGAGAGGTACATGAGAGGCGCACGGCGTCGTAAAGGATTAACTCTGCCCTTCGACCCCACATCTGCGCCGTGATTGGTAGATTACCCTCCACGTAGCCGAACGCCATCTAATGATTATGTGGCAGCGTCAGAGGTGCAGCAACCGGGGGGGTCCTCCGCCTTTAAATGTCCCACAAACAGAAGTCTCTCTGCGTGAAAGCGAGGCGTCGGTCCGAAGTCGAGTGGAAGCTTCTCCCTCTCGTTGATTCTGTCTTATAAATCCGGACTTATCTCGAGGGAGAGTTCCGGGTGAAGTGGAGGGTGGAGGTTAAGGTGGGATTGGAAATGCAAAGCTGTGTGCTGGGGCTGCTGCACAGGAGGAGGAGACAGTGTTGGACAAATGTCCTCGAATGGATGTTTGAACTTTTGAGATGAAAAATACGCCATCAAACTAAAAAAGATAAGGCAAATAATCTCAATGATTTTCCTGCGAAAAGAAAGATAATGTGAATGTTTTGCTCCCTGAGATCCAGTGATGGTTTTCTGTCGTCCATCTGCTGAAAGTTCGTTCCGTTATTCACACTTGAGCAGCGTGGTAAATGTTACTGAAATGTCACAAGGTAAAGTGGGCAGAAGAATCATACAAATAGCCATTTCAAAACAATTTTTACTGCTTTGTTATTAAGTTACAGGGAAATTCACAAAAGCTGCAGAAAAGACGCTTCCCTCCGAACGCAGTCATGAATTTAGTTCGGTTGTACGGCAGTGTGATTTTGTAGGAGACGGCGTTCAGAGTGACACCGACATGTACAACTGGTGTTGCAACCACGGCTCTTACAGCCGGTTTGTTGTGAACCTTCATGTCTTTGAAACGCTCTGCGTTATGCACACTGACATTTTCTTCCCCCATCAGCACGGCATGCAGAGCCATTTCATGTCACCGTCCATTGACTTTCATGCACTTGTATAAAACCCCATAAATCTATGATAAATAGATTCGAGGTCAGGTTTTGACGGGCTTCTGTAACGACATTCACTAAGGGTTCGTGTTAAGTAACGGCAGCAATTCATCGTGCCGTTATTCATGGGATTATCATTAATATGAATGGTCCTAATTAGCGAGCGCTGATGTTGCAGCGTGCAGAACTCGTATCTGAGGGAAAGGGTTCTTCTGCGCTCTGCGGCTTCCTCTCGGACTCAAAACAGTCGCAAAAGGGCGAAACGCAAAAAAGGGCCCGTGTCTAAACTGCTTGCCTGGCCTTGGATCTGAAAAATAAATGAGGAGCTGAGTTGAGCCACAAAAGAACAAAGACCGAGGGGGGGTCCGCAAGAAGAGCTCGGCAGCGTCCCGACATCGTGAAGCACGCGCTCACGTGCACACACGCACGCGCCCACGTGCACACGCGCCCACGTGCACACACGGAGAGGATTTAAGTAAAACAATTATGCACATAAAGAGAAATAGCAGCTAATCAGCCATCACACCTGCATTTTAAGTGAGTCCAATTCAAGGTTGCCATGGTAACTGTGCCTAATTACGCAAAGGACACTAAAGTTAAACATCTCTTCTTTTTTTTTTTTTTATCTGCACACACCCTCATATATGAGACACACAAACACACAGCTGTACTTCTTCTGAAGTGTTTACTCTGGCTGATAAAAGCGATTTAGAGCCTTTCTACCTCTCTGCTTCTCGTCAGGAGAAACGACAGCGAGACGACGTCCCTCTCCCGCTTCTCGTTTCTAATTAAGGAGTTTGCCGTCCTCCGCGAAGCTCACTGCTCAGATTCCCATCTCTAATCCATCCTCCCGACCTTGAGCGTGACTCAAGCAGCAGAGCGAAACTCTCTGATCGGTTTTCTCGGCACTGTAACTTTGTTTTGTTTGGAAAGAAAGTTGTCAACCGGCCTTTAATGTTCTTAAAAGTAATAATAGGGCGGATTATTTTTACACGGATATTTTTGTTGCAGCACTTGGTTTTGTTGTCTATTTATACTCGTTTCAAAGCTGATTACGCAAAGTTCTTGACGGAACGTCGTCCTCCTGCTCATTGGCATTCTCTCCCCTCGCTCACTTGTCTCTGTTGCTCTTCCTTCTCACTCCTTCGTGCTCCATTTCTGTCTGAGGACATCTCAGATCGCTGTGGGTGACTAACCCCACTTTACTCTCTCTCTTCCTCCTCCTCCAGGATCCTGCTGACTGTAGTGGTCATCTTCCGCATCCTGATCGTGGCCATCGTCGGCGAGACCGTCTATGAGGACGAGCAGACCATGTTCGTCTGCAACACCCTGCAGCCAGGCTGCAACCAGGCCTGCTACGACAAGGCCTTCCCCATCTCCCACATCCGCTACTGGGTCTTCCAGATCATCCTGGTGTGCACGCCCAGCCTCTGCTTCATCACCTACTCCGTCCACCAGTCGGCCAAGCAGAAAGACCGCCGCTACTCCTTCCTCTACCCCATCATGGAGAGGGACTACGGGGGAAGGGAAGGGACGCGGAAGATCCGCAACATCAACGGGATTCTGGTGCAGCACGGCGGCGGCGGCGACGGCGGCGGCGGGGGGAAGGAGGAAGCCGACTGCCTGGAGGTGAAGGAGATCCCCAACGCGCCGCGGGGCCTCACCCACGGGAAGAGCTCCAAGGTTCGCCGGCAGGAAGGGATCTCCCGCTTTTACATCATCCAGGTGGTGTTCAGAAACGCGCTGGAGATCGGCTTCCTGGCGGGCCAGTACTTCCTGTACGGCTTCAGCGTGCCGGGGATTTTCGAGTGCGACCGCTACCCGTGTCTGAAGGAGGTGGAGTGCTACGTGTCCCGTCCCACGGAGAAAACGGTTTTCCTGGTCTTCATGTTCGCGGTGAGCGGCATCTGCGTGGTGCTCAACCTGGCGGAGCTCAACCACCTGGGCTGGCGCAAGATCAAGGCCGCCATCAGGGGCGTGCAGGCCCGCAGGAAGTCCATCTGCGAGATCCGGAAGAAGGACATGGCGCATCTGTCCCAGCCGCCCAACCTGGGCCGCACGCAGTCCAGCGAGTCCGCCTACGTCTGACGACGAGGAGAAGAAGAGAAGGAGGAGGAGGGAGGAAGGAGGAGGAAGAGGAGGAGTGGGGTGAATGAGCGAGACACAGAGTTACCTAGTTATGATTTTAATTGAATGAAGACGGCGTAAAGACGCCCCCGTCCTCTGCGAAGAGATGAATGAGACAGAATGTAAAAAGACGAAACCCGCCGGCTCTTCGAAGAAGGAGGAACATTAAAAAGCATAAAGGGGAAAAAAGAATTCTATTGAATGAACTTGATGAACGGGAGAAGCTCCTACTGCCATTTTATACTTTTGTCTTTTCCTTTTTTTTTTAAATAATTACCTTCTCCTTTGCCCCTCGTTTATTTCAATGCGGGGAACTAAATCCTCAAGGGGCCGGAGAGGGAACGAGAAGATGAGAAGATGAGACGAATGGAGCGGGAAACAGACGAGAGGCTGTTTTTTTGTATATTCTTCCGGGGGGGCTATTGGACGATGACGGCGGCGCTTGATGCATCACGCGGTGCTTTTCTATCTCGATGAAATGAAAGAGGACGAGATGAGGAAGATGAGCAGCAGCGTCATTAAAAGAGGAACGGAAGAACTGTCGAGGCCACGCGGGGTTCGTGGAGGGAAGAAGGCGAGCTCGAGAAGGTGTGAAAACACACGATCCACCTGGAGGGGGGAGGGGGGGGGGGGGAAGTTCTTCCTTCCCTGGAGACTCGTGGGACAAAGAGCTGCGTCCGATCAGCGTCCCCCGAGCCAGAGCCCGGAGGAAAAGACTGACGATGTTTATGTTTTGTCTCTTGGCAAAAGATGATTTTAACACAAACACGGCGAAGCACCATAAACACTCCCCCTCCTCCCTCGCTCTCTCTGCCGGGCGCTTGGCAGCTAAACGGAGGGGGGGGGGGGAGGAGAGGGAGGAGGGGGGGGGGTCTTCTGACGACAGTGATGACTCTTACTTCTGCGTAAACTTTGGAGAGGAACCTAACGAACAAACGGGCAACGCCAGACTCTCCGGAAGCACAAACCGAACTTCCCTCCTCGCCAGCTGAGAGGAGAGAGAGAGAGAGAGGAACACATCACTTTATTACAAATTTTATAAAAGTATGAGTCATCACCATTTGTTCTGATTTTTTTTTTTTCAGAGAAAGCAATGGTGCCATCCTTGAGATATTTAATTATAGTTGAAAAGTGACATAGATTATATCATAGAAATATTATTTATCCATTTAGAATTTATCCAAATAGATTTATATATATATATATATTGGCGTGCGGGTTGGTTGGAACATCATGTTGATGTTTTTTTTCCAAATGTATAAACTGTCTGTCATTTTTTTTTTCTTCATTTTTGTTTATTTTAAAGCATTCCTCCGCATTGGGACTGTTTGATGGCGCGTGCAGCTGTTTGATGGCGCGTGCAGGTCGCGAAGCGACGGGTTTGTCAGCTCTGTTCCGAAATATCGAGGCTGTGCAGCTGATTTTCTTTTCTTTCTTTTTTTTTTACGTGCAATTATTTAAGAAATCTTCGCTGCAACTGTGGCTTGTACACGTTCAAAATGCAAAACAACGCGTCTCTGTGCGTTTTCCACAGAGAGCCTTCTTCACAGTCAGCTGCGCAGCTTCGGGCGCCGGCGGCCCGCGAGCCGCTTGGAGAAAGGCATGTTTACACGACGCGATGTTTCTTGAATGACGGAGCCGATGAGCAGCGTCTCCCCCCCCCCCCGGGACTGTCGTGTTTTTTTGGAATCTCGGGTGGTTTTCATTTAGCGTTTCCCTCCCTGACGGGGATTTTCAGCATGCATGCCTTGTAAAGAGAGGAGAACGCCACGAAAGCAAAAAGATAAAGATGACAGAGAGCGTTGCACCTTTGATCAATGCAGACGAGTGGGAGAGTGGCAGACTGAAGGGACACTGCCTCATCCAAAAAAAAACAGGGAAACCAGACATAGGGACCGATTCAGTGCACCACACGTGATGCTTCACCTCGCGGCGGTTCATGCCTCGGTTTGGTCAGAGGAGAAAGCCACGAATGCGTCTTACACCAGGTCTGAGCACACTGCAGCGCGTCCGTGTTCTGACCTCTGTGGCCTTCAGCAGCTCCACGCAGCAGCTCCACGCCGCCGCGTTGGAGAGGCCGACTCTCACCGCGTCGGTATGGAGCCTGTCTACTTTCACTCAGTCCTGCGTTCCCTCAGCCCTCCCTCATTCCTGTGGCTCCTCCGTGCCACGTTCCTTCAGCCACACTTTCCCATCCCTTCGTTTCAAGCGCTCCAGTGTTTTCTCCTAAACCCGACGACACCTCAATCTTGTGCTTCTTCTCCTCTGTCTTTGGTCCCACTGTCCCTCAGGCCCATGTCCCCTCAGTTCTGTGTTCCCTAACTTGGCTTACCTGCTTTTGCTTCAATTAATGATTTCCCACAACGCCTTCGGTCATCTCCTTGGTAGATTTGGTATCTATAGTCAACCAGAATACTCTACGAATAATTAAGCAAAATAAAATGCACCACATTGCAAATGTGTTGGCCAGGTTTTCAGCGCCGCTTTCACCAAACATGACGTTTTACAGGGAATGTAGAATCTTTGCGTTCACTATTCTCTGCCTTGTCATCACGTAGCATCTTGGCTAGCGGGAAGAATCCACCCCCCCCCCCCCTCAGCCTCCCTTTTCCCCTGTCATAATCTCTGTGGTTCCTACAGGGGATTCTCCCCAGATTTAGACTCCTCGGAGCAGGTCGGTGGGCCGAATGTGCTAGAAAGGCTAGAAGTAGAGATCCAGCTATGAGTTCCCTCGGCCGCGTTTCTAGCGACGGGCTTAAGCGGCGACCTTGAGCTTTGCAGGCCCGAGTCCTGTGCGCAGCTCGGGCTGAACATTCGATCCCCGCGCAGCGCAGGTCAACGGCGGTGAGAGGCCTATTTTCATACACGCAATCCATCCTAGGGGAAAGAAAGAAAACACACGACGCATCTGGACGTGAGAAGCGTCGGTTTGGATTCAGTTGTTATGTCTGGTTTCCTTCAGGTGAGAAACACACACGTACACACGCGGCGCGATGAACATGTCCTGCTTCTCTTCGGTTTACATTCATCCAGCGTTCATTAGCGACTCACAACTCGGCTGCAGAGAACCGGCCGGAGTTCTTCCGACAGTCTTCTGCTCTCCGCAGTCTGCTTTTCTATTCGTCAATGTGAAATGAATTATGCAACTTTAGTTTTTTCTTATTTGCTTTTTTTTTTTTTTCTGACTTGTGGATTCATTTGTTGTCTGTTGCTATGTTTGTGCAGTGACATATCGAGAAAAAAAAAAAAGAAAGATGTTTTTGCTTTTTTCTATCTAAGGGAACAAAACGTTTTTAGTTTTTTTCAAAGTGTAAAATCAAGGGCAGAATGTTGAAATATAAGACTAGCAGAAAAACATGTTATATTTCCGCCCTTGCTAAAGTGATATGCAAAAATGAATTCATTTTCAAAGATTTTCTAACTGCATGTGTAATGGCTAGAAAAAGCATGTTTCTATATTTTCTTCAGCAGAATCTTCAATGAGAGACGTTTTTTTGGGGGGAGTTTTGTCCAATCTACGAAGCGAAGCTACATCACGTCTCGATGCCAAGTGTGTACATTACTTATTACTTAGTCGGTCCTTCAGACGCTGCGGAGCCAGACGAAACCAGCTCAGTGACGTTACAACTTCCTATCACAGCTCACCACTCTCAGTCGAAACTCCCGAAAGATTTTGAAAACAACAACGTATGCTAAATCTTCTACTTTAAGAAATTTGCACAAGAATATATATATATATATATATATATAAATATATATACGTACCTTTATAATCTGTTGTAGAAGACGATTTATAAGCCAATCGGTCACGTGATTACTGTAAAACACAGGGTACAGCGGAGTATAACCGTACAGGTCAGACGCCAGAACATTCCAGGGTTTAGTCCCCCAGCACAATGTGTGCGTCACGGCCTCTTTGTGTGTCTCCATGTGACGGAGTCCTCAGCGGAGCTGCTTGGGGACACGTGGTTTGGGGGGTGGGGGGGTCGATCGGTACACTGACAGCAGACTCAGGAAAGAAAAACAATGCTGATCTTTTACAACCAGTCTTTTCTAGTTCCTGCATTAGAACACGCTCTCAGAGACGCACGTCGCCGCGCTTTCCTTCCACCGTCCTTACCTTGTACTGTAAAAGGAAGAAAAACGTCTTCAGGCCGGATCATTTACCTGTTGGTGCTATTGAGGTCGGACTGCGTCAACCAAACACCACGTCCCCCCCCCCCCGTTCCTCAGTGCTGCCCCACGTAGCGCAGGTCATGTAGCACAACGCAGATCTCCTCCAGGAAATGACGAATCCGCAAAAGGTCGACGGGCCTCGTTGGCGAAGGATTTGATTCCTCAGGAATGCAGCTTCGTTCATCAACACAGACGCTCAGCGAACTGCCACTTTGCTCCTTGTACTGCCAAAAAGAGGTTACGTTTAATCTAGTAATCACGTTATGCAGCCAACACAAAGGGCTCCTCCGTGGCCCTCCGGCCAGATTTGGACAGTCGTGGGCTCCTTACTCATTAAAATACTAAAAGCCATAGTTTTTAAGAAAAAAAAGCTCCTCGACGCTGCACATTATCTTGAATACAATGCGCACTCATGAGAAAAGATTAATCACATTAACATGTAGTCGATTTAGCGATCAATTTTAGCATTTAAATTGAAAACCCCTTGTTTCTAATGAAAAGCGTTTCATTGTTGAACGAGAAATTTTAAAGCTCCTTTCATCCAGATGTTCGGCTTCAATTTTCATGTAAAAAAAAAATGAAATGTTCCCTCCTCCCCTTCCTCCTCTTCCTCCCCCCTCTGGCCCGGTGTGACACTGGTGCTGCCGCACAGCGCGGCCAGATCACGACCGTTTCACGGTTCAGAGAAGCAGCCCTCAACCTCTCCCTAATCTGTCATGATATCACGACGTCAGTCGTGATTACTTTGTCTAATTACGCTGAGTGGCAGATACAGACAGGGTGGGATTGAAAACCGCCATCCGGATTTGACCAAATAGCCGCCGTGCATCTCTTTCTCTCTCTCTCTCGCGCGCGCTCGCTCGCCCTGCGGTCGTGGATGCGCTGAGATGAGATTTAGCTGCCGGTCGTGGCTCTAAAATGCATTGTTGATGTTCAAAGCGGAGATTGAAGATGGAAACAGGTGACCTGATCCCACACCAGGTCACCTGTTCGTCAGCCGTATGGGAGGCCCCATGCTGCAGTGAGGGGAGTGTGGGAGCAGGGTCAAGTTTAGCCAATATTTGGCATCCTATAGTGGGGAATTAATATATATATAGGGATCCGAAAAGGGGAAAGTAGTCAAATATCTTAGCCCTAGAAACTTGTCTTTCTTCAGCATAGCTTCTACTGTGACATCTGCACGGATGCAAAAGACTGAAAACACCCAAACTCACACACACGCTTTGTAATCGTCATCTGCTGCATCGGACTGCAGATTCTATGGTCGTACCTGACGGACCTTCGCTTGAGGTTCAATGTATATTTTTGACTGGTGTACTGTATGTAAAGACTGAATAAAACCTTGAATGTTACATAATGCCTGAACCGGCCTCTTGTGTTTCTGATTTACGACCATCGAAGCGCTCGTGTCCGTGCGTTCGCACGTCTTTGTATTGTTTTTTCTTCTGCGATTGTGTGAGCGCGGGAATAAGAAAAGAAAGGAAACGTGACTGGACGGACGCTGGTGATACAGATTCAGGAGATTAAGAAACGCCTTGTTTGGTGAGATGCGTGTCTAAACACAGCTGGCCGGCGTGAAGACACTCAATAGGTGACACCGAAACCTTTCAGTGGGATTAAAACCTTCAGAACATGGCAGCGATGAGAGGAAGAGGGAATGTGTGCGTCTGTGTGTGTGTGTGTCTGTGTGTGTCAGTTTATGTGCATGCAGCGGTTCGTGTGCCCTAACAAAATACTGTAAATGCGCGCATGCGTCATATCACCGAATGATGGCGTGTGTGTGTGTGTGTGCTTTCACATGTGTGTGTCCAACCCACAACTCCCCCCCCCCCCACACACACACACACACATCCTCCCCCCTTCTCAGCAAGGTCACATGGTGGCTGTGCTGGACTGGGATTGAAGGCTTGTTGCTACGGCGATAAGCCAGCCGGTAATATCTCTAAGCACAGCCAGGATTAATGTGCCGACAGATGGCCGGCTGCTCAGCGTCACTTCCTGAAAGACACACTCTCACACACACACACACACACACACACACACACACACACAGGATTTGTATTCGCCATCATCATCATTGTCCACTTACATGCATGCAATCACACACACACACACCCATATAGACCATCAGCATTATTCTCCCGGTGTAACACCGTCCACCCTCGCCGGATCATCCACGGTATTACCATCATTACCGCCTTCATCATCATCGCCGTAGCTCCTCCTCATCGCGAACGACACGTGATGCAATCGTCGTCTTCCTCACCTACAGCCGGCATCTCGTGTTTCATAATTGCGTAACAAAAGGTTCCTCGAAGCTTTCCGTCGAGGGTTTGCGAGGTCGTCCGTGAAGCGGCGAATGACGCAAGCGGACGCAAGAAGCGTCGCCGGGGCTCCACGGCCGAGACGCGCGTGAGATGACGCGGCGGTGCATCGTCTGTGGGTTGTTCTTGACTGCGACGGATCACCTCCAGACCTCTTCAGGCAACCCTCATGCAAAGGGTCACCCCTGATTCTTTGTGCGTTCTCACAAGTGGTAAAACGTGGGACGGGGTCACACGAGGAAGTTACTTAACAAATGAGGTTGCAGTTAGTGCGCGTGTTTTTGCCTGCAGCTGAGGTCGTACTGTGGCTGTCAGTGTGATCTTAATTAGTTCCTTTAACCCGTTAGTTACCGAAGAGCAAACGGCGTGCAGCTGTGTGTGCGTTTGATGACGTGGTCGGCATTGTGTATTCATTAAGGAAAGGACTTATGACGACTACGTTATGAGGCACATTGAGAGATGAGGTCTATGCAAAGTATATTGAAACCAGTGCAACAAAAGACTGAGCGTCAAAAATACTTTCTGTTAGAATCAGAACAATACAGATGTTGATCATTTCTTAAAAGTGATTTTACAAAAAATAATGGTAATTCTTTAGAAAACTAGAACATCGTTACGTTTAAAGTCAAATCCCATGACAAAAAAAACATAATCATGCAGTCATGATAAAAACAGGAAGAAACGTACTCATTTTATTAATATGAATACCTATTTAAAACGTTTAAAGAGGTTACTCAGCTTGCGGTGGGGCTGTATACGTTCTCGTCCGAAATGACGCATCTTAATTCACAGGTGAAAAATAACATCACGCAGAAAGTTTCCCTTCTTTCCCTTCTGAGGAAGACTCCGCGTTCTAATCTCACGCCCTCCATTGTTTTCAGTCAGGAATATCAAAACACCAACATGAGCAGCTGGATGTGCTTCGATCCGTCTTAAACATTGGTGGACTTGCTCGCGGGTGAAGAGTAACACGTTTTACATCTTATTAAGAATTTACAAAGGAATATCTCACTTGCCCGCGAGTACTTTATTGTAATGAACATGCTCTCATTATTTACATATTTTTGAAAGGGCCGTGGGCAAAGTAAGGCGGCAAGTAAGTCATCAGCATAAACATGAGTCCATATGTCACACCGGCAGGACAAGAAAAGAACGGCCGCACCAGAAAGAAGGGAGGAGATGGTGAGAATCGGGGCGCCGAGCAAAGAGGACGATGGGTGGAGAGTTGCCTTCAGGCTGAGCACAGAAAGAGGAAGGAGAAGAAACCTTGGTGGCAGCAACGCGGGGAGGAGATGAGGACAGAAGGGAAGAGGGTTTCTGGGAAGGAGGAAACAATAACGGCCTCGAGGCAATGTTTTAGCAAGGAAGGATCACATAGAGAGAGAGATAGAGGATGAAGCCTGCAGGGGAGGGACGGGTGAGGAGAGGCACAGTGGAAGGGAAGCAAGGAAGGATGGAGAGATGTGAAAATTAAGACAGAGAGGAGAAGAGATGTAAAGTAAGAAAGCGACGGAGGACGCCAGTGAGCGGCGCGTGTCCCGAGGAAAGTGAAGTATAGAGGTCTGAGAGGTTTGCTGCAGCGCAGAGAGGACGTGGCGGCGCGCTGGCTGTTCTGCCTGGCTGCATCTGCTCTGTCTTCGGGGAGAGCAGCTGAGGAGGAGAGGAAGAGGGGGATGAAGAGGGGGAGTAGGAGAGAGAGGCCGGGGGAGAGGGGGGGGGGGGGGTGCTTAAGGATGGAAATACAGAGCAGATACGGTACGGACGGAAGAGGTCAGCGAGGGTCAGGGCGGGAGAGACGGGCGAGAGGCGGCAAACCGCTTGGTTGAGGATGACGAACTGGCTGTCAAGTTGCTGAAACAAAAGTGGCCTTCGGAGAGTTAAGAGAGACAAATGGACAGACTGGGGGGGGGAGGAGCACTAGTGGGGATGGAGAGGAAGGGGAGAGTGCAGAGAAGGGGAATGAAATGGGAGCAGGGAGGCAGGAGGCGCTTTAAGGCCGAGTCGCAAAAAAAGACAAAGTGGGAAGGACGGTAAGTCACGAGAGGAGAACAACGGGGAGGAGGAAGAGGAGGAGGAGGAGGAGAGGAAGAAAAAAGCAAGGAGAGGAGAGGGGAATCGCGTCAGAGTGATTGTGAGACGGCGAGGCAGTAGCTCTGGGCAGGGTGAGAGGAAGTGATGCGTACGCTAACGGGAAGGAGCAGATCTCGGCGGCGCTCGCCAATCAAACACCAGTCCTCCCCGGCGCCCTCCTTGACCGCCAGCACAAACACGCATTCATTACCAACACACACACACACACACACATTATGAAGCATTAAAGGGGATTCCGGGAAGCACTTTGCTTTCGCACATTTAAGCAGTGTATGTAATGCACACACACACACACACACAAGGAGCTTCACGTGACCTCACATTAATCAGTAACACGCGCACACAGCGGTCAGCTGGCAGGCTCCCCGTCGCATGCCACCGTGTCCCGGCTCCTCAAGCACCGCTGAGCCGCAGTCGCTCGATGGAGATGCAGGATCTCGCAGTGAGGTGTGAATCTCACGCTGGGGTTCCTCACACCAGTAGATGGCGTCACCACGTGCGCAAAGGTCGGAAATGTTACTGGAGAGATATTTTTTAAGTTTTATATTCTGAAACTTAAGTCTGTCTCTGTTGATCCAACTCCAAGAAGATGAATGCGTTTCATGTCAAATTCGTACCATTAAAGTGTCAATAAACTGCCTCCAGCGGACTGTGAATATGAATAAAATGCCATTTTTGTTGAGTGACATTTATGGTTCATCATTGTGTCTTTATGGATTTTCAGTCACACCCACAATGCAGCTTGAATCTCAAGCATGTAGTGAACATTTCCCTCTATATTTAATGTGGTTTATAACATATTATACGCTTTGTAGTAATAATCGTAAGCTCTTTTGTTTTTTAGAATCATTCCTCGAATCAGCGTTTTAGAAACAAAATGTTACTGTGAGACACAGACCAACACCACAGCTTCAGAAAGGTCAACAAATACACACAATTAGATCCTCAGGCTGTGCGCACTAAAGTAAAAATCCTGCCACGCACAGGTAAACATGTTATTGTGTCAACGATATGTTAGATAAAAGAGTTTGACCGAGGAAGGAATGAACTAAAGCAAGTCTAATCGTTTCTGGTGAAATAAGGAGACTCCGACTCCCACAAACTGTCGTGGACATCAGTCAGAACTCCACGACCTTCTCTCCAGGAACCAGAACGTAAACAGGACCGGCTTCCAGTGACACTTTATAAACAGTCACCAGAGTTACCGCTGAGTCCTGCTGAGACACGGAAGCCCTGTGACTGCAATGTTTCCTATTTGCTTTAATAACTTTTTTTGCTCATTTTGAGCATTTTGCTCACTTGAAGCCTCTGGTTGTGACCATCGCGGTCACATCTGGCACATCGCACAAATATGGCACAATCAGCCGCGACGTGCCCGATCAGAGCAGCCGGACTCTGAAGGCCTCGAGCTCTGCACACTGTTCAAGTCGTGAACGTGGATGTGATTTGTTCTAAACTCTGTGGACTGTGGATTAATTCTGCTTCTGCACAATCGGTTTGATTAAGTGTCCTACGGTGCAATTATGTTCATTTCCTCCCGATGCTCTATTTGGAAAAGGGTTTTCATTAATCATTCACCATCAGCCTTTTCTTCACATCTGTCCCCTGCTGCCGCTCAAATGAGCCGCCTCGTCAACGGAACGTTCTATTTCAGGCCGACAATCTAAATCCGCGCCGAGGTAAATGTCACGTCACGTCTTTGGAATTCAAAGAGCACGAATTCCACAGCCGTGATTTCCGGATTAAGAAAAGGCTTTTTAATAGACTTTCGCGCGGCCTTTGATGTCTCTTCTCCCCACAGGAGCCTTTGTGTTGTCCTCAAAGAGCTGACACGCCGTAATCTCCTTCTGCTATGTTTAGGATTTCCATATTTAGTCACCAATCAGACGGGAAAAAAAATTTACAACCTCGCCCGGAGGTACAGTACAAGCACGTCTGCCGCTGATATCT